CTCAAAGAGAGAGCATGAAAGAGAGAGAAAAAGACAGAAAGAAAGAAAGAGAGAGAGAGAGAGAGAGAGAGAGAGAGAGAGAGAGAGAGAGAGAGAGAGAGAGAGAGATCTGGCTAATAACCATCTGATCAGCGATAAGAAAACAAAGCGTAGCTGCACTGCCTTTTATTTGTATTTGTATGTTTCACATTGGTTGTAAAGTGTTTCCCAAAACCTCAAGTGATCATGAAAAATATATGTTTTCTTGCACATCATTTAAGTACTTACAAAATATTTTTTCACAAACTAAATTTTATTAATCATTTAATAGACGTTTTATTGTTAACATCCGAAGCAATAATCTGAGTAAAGTTTCAAACATCTGAAAAAACAAACAAACTCTGAAACAATAAAAGAGAACATTTCTGCATTTCTAACACTACATTTATTTAGATGCACCTCTTAAAACTTTAAAACTAATCAAACAGTGCYACAATAAATAAAGTATTTAGGTCTTAAAGCTGTTTGTTGTTGTTGAAAAGTCTTTGTTCACTTTGTTTTAATAAAGTGGTTATAATTGTTTTGTTGTTATGAGAACATTTATGCAATTTTAATAATTCATATAAATAATGTTAATACACTAATATATCTGCACACCTTCTCAGTGTAATCCAGCAACAAAATAAGTGATATAAGTAAACGCAACATGCACAAATCAATAACAACGTTTAGGGTACAAAGGCCAAACGTCTGGTTTACTCTATTTATCTGAGGCTAACCTTTGTATGACGCAACAAACAGTGAGATGCTAAAACAGACTGAAAAACATCAAGATATTAAAAAAAAATTTCATTCTGTCTACTCTGTTGTGAGTCTYTACCTTGTTTAGTTGTGAAGCAGCCAAAGCCAGCAGCAGGCCAAAGCAGGTGAGGTGCACCCCAGCAGCTCTCCCCATGTTTCCTCAGAGCAGATTCAGCTCAGACTGTTCTTTAAACTCAAACAAAGCACAGATTTATTTGATCACTTTTTTAAAAACAAGCTTAACTCTTTATCTCCTGGATGTCTCCTCCTTCAGCTGCTTTCCTGTCTGCAAATAAAAACCAAGCCKGCACACAGAACTTACCCCTCCACCCTGATTTACTGTAACTCAGCTGTGTAAATATCCTTGTGCAGCATTCAACCTCTGCACTTTGCCAGGACTTTGCAGCAACATTTGTTTTGCACTAAGCAAGAAAACATCAGTTAAAAAAGTCACCACAAATAAGTGATACAAAGATGACATTTTTTTTCACTAAACTAGTAGTGACATTTTCTGTCAAACATTTTTAAGTTTTAAACTGAAAATGTTAGAGCACATCCATGATTAGTTGTAACATTAGACTTTATTTGATAAAAAAAAATATTTTAACTGTAAAATCCATCCATCCATCCATTTTCTTCTGCCTATCTG